AATAGATACTTTATATATTAAGAGATAATTTATGTCACTGCATAATCACCTTGTTCCTGGAAATAATAAAACACACGAAAGAAAGTATCAGTAACAATTACGTTTTATTATTACAGACTATAAGAATTGATCTCTTTACAATCGGCAATACGTACAAAATAGTTCTACGTGTTGCTGCACAGGACAATAAACGATACAGACATAGGACGGTTCCTGTTGCATTATCCTTTATCGCTAAATATCCTTTGAGCGTTTTCCATTTCTCCTATCGAGAACCGCGTTCGTCATCGACGAAACGCGATCGATTTAGAAAACGAACGACGTTGAAAACAAGAAATCAGCAGATGCGTGTCTTAAAGACACGTCACGAGCCTCAGGTACGATCGTTTCATTCACGTTTCCATCGTTCGTTCCAACCTTCGTTATACTTAATCGATTTAATCGATTCGATTTATCAATAGCACGTATTCGCGCCTTTTTTTTCGTTAAACGTCACGCACCGACGATTATGTACATACATAAATAAATCGCTATGTGTATAATGATAATAAAAAAAGAAAAACACGGCTTTTGATTTACATAACAAAGAGTATAAATAAGACTAGATTTCGTTAGGCGTTATTGAATAACATTCGCGTGTAACTTTACACTTTGACGACGGGCGTGTTTTGTACAATTTATATTATTTTCTTTTTTTTTTATTTAAAATCGACTGACAATTTTATATCTACTTTTGTTTTCTTCTTTGTTTAAAATATTATTCGAAATATTTAAAAATATTATTTGAAAATTACGGAGTACTTTTTGAAGTACATAGTGTATTGTCTACGTTTGAATTTACCGCCATTTTTTAATAAGGCGGTATTTTGGAAGAAACAAGAACATTAATTAAATATTTTAATACAATAACTTTTGAGGTTCTGAAATATATTTCAGATGTCTGTTTAACCCTGTAAGACTTGCAAATTTAGTTTCGAAATGCACTTTCAAATATTTCATACTGTTTGAATTTGCCGCCACTTTCGAACGACGTGGCAGAAAATTTTGAAAGAAACAAAAAAGTTAAATTGAAACGCTTGAATGGCATAATTTTTATCACACAAAGTTGTAAAATATGTCTCAAATGTTAAAATAACTCTGTAATGCAATATTTTTGCAATTTTAGATGCAATATACTTTCTCAAACGTTTTGTAATGCAACTTATGTTTGAATTTACCGCCAAGATACGACAGAAAATTTCGAAAGAAACTTCTCTTAAAAAAATGATCAAAACAATTACAATATTGTAAATTTGCAACTAATAATCACAAAAATTATAATTAAGAGACAAATGTCTGTAATATCAAACAAATTTAAGAAATATACTGCAAAATTAATTTGCATTGAAAAGATACAATGAAATATAATTAAAAGAATCTGCAATAATTTCATTACCAAATTTGCAGTTTACCAAAAGAAAAGAAATTGTAAGAAATTGCAAAAAAGGGTTAAAAATCCTAAAAATTCGATTCTAAATAAAAATCTTGTGTACAAGTGACAGCGGTCGTCAAAGTGTTAAAATTAAAAAGAAGTAATGATAATTATAATGATAACGACAGGTATTGACAATTTAACCTTTGTTTAGAGTTTCATTCTGTTCGACGCTCGTTTCCCTCTTCCCTCTACGAAATGCATTGCAAAATCGGCTCGAGGAACAGCTCGAGCCGATAGAAAGCTGAATTTATCGGCTCACGCCCCTTCAAGCAGATTATCGTTGCATCCGCTTCTAATCGGCGAGCACGAAACCACTCTTTGGTTAACACGGTTCTTTCAGCGCTATGTACATTCCAGTCTCCCATCTTTGGCACGGAGCTACGATCGAATTTACATTATTATTAAAACGATAACGTCGACGTCGATCGGCACCTGTTTCACTCTTCCTCCTCTTCCCCTTTGCGTTCTACCATCTACGAACTTAACCCTTTCAGACCCGACGTGTTTCGTAATTAAAACCAGTCGTTAAATTACTCTTATCACGGGCAGATTAATAATAATGAATTTCAGATCGCTGAGATTATTGCGGTCGAGTAATTGTATACTGGTAGTTTAGCATATTCTGGATGAAGATAGGATTGGAGGAATTTGCGAACTGAAAAATTTACAGATATTGAAAGTTGGAAATTTCTTAATATTTTTGTAGATATATAGATTTTCAAATTCATAATTCTCAAATTTATAGGTTTCTAATTTCCCAAGTTCTCAAATTTTTTAAATTCTCAAATTTCCACAATTTCAGAATTTTTTTAATTTTCAAATTTTTTAAATTCTCAAATTTTTTAAACTCCATAATTTCCACAATTCCAGAATTTTCCACATTTTTAAGCTTGCAAACTAAATTTTTGAAAGCTCACATATATTGAAACTTTCAGCGTCCAATTACCTTCCCTAAATTTCTAAATTTTCATACCTCCAAAATCCTTAAACTCCTAAGTCCTTGAATTTCAAAAATCTTGGATTCTAAAATTCCCAAATTAAAATACCCTTAATAGAGATTACGTAGGGTTTGAAAGGGTTGACAACAACACAATGAACAAACTGAATGATCGATTGATATATCGAAATTATTCGGACAACTTTCTCAGAATTTTTTGTATACATATAGAATCGTTAAGAAAATTCTTAATAAAATTCAATGACAATTTCAAGATAAAATATTTGGATAACAAACGATTTAAAATTGTTTGGATCGAATTCTTAACTATACTGATACAATGTGTCATCAATGTGTCTATGGTTCACTTGCTGATTTACGAATTATGTATTAATTTCCAACATTCCCTAAATTCTTAAAATTCTAAATTTTCTTTGAAAATTTTGTCAAATTTTTTCATTTGACCAAATTTCAGAAATTTCAGAAATTTTTTATATTCCCAAATTTTCCAAATTTCTCCGAATTCCAAAAATTTCCAACTTTCCAAGTTTCTAAAATTTCCCTAACTTCCCGAATTTCCAAATTTCTTCAAACCCCAAAAAATTTGCAATTTTTCAAGTTTCTAAAATTTCCCAAATTTTCAAATTCCCCAAATTTTCGGAAATTCTCCAAAACTCAAAAAATTCAAAATTTTCCAAGTTTCCAAAACCTTCTGAATTTCCTTAATTTCCCAAATTTCCCAAAATTCCAAATTCCTAAACTTGAAGATTTGAATATGCATAACATTAAACAGTCACAAACTCAAAAATTCGTCAATTTATAAATCTGTCAATAATTACACACTTCATATATTCATGATAATTTACAATATCGAGCAGGGTTATTTCTTGTTAAACGAAGGTTAACTACAAATCGCGTAACATTTCATTCCCATTGCGTAAGAATAAACTGTTTCTTTATACAGATTCATAATGATTAATCGATCAACTATAGCTGTGTCCTCTTTTCCATTTTTCCTTTTTCAAATTTTTATGGTTTTATGTGTGATGCAACGACAAATCATTCAGTAGATAATAAAGCAGATAAGCGTATTTTAAAAATTATTATGATTTTGTCCAAATTTTTCAGTTGGCATTTTTAGAAAAAAATATTTAGAAATACTGTATTGAATTATTAAATTCAATAAATGAATATTTTTAATTGATTCAGTTTCAAAAATAGTATTGTATACTCATTGAGTATGACACTTCATAAAGAGAACTTGGTAGAATTGATCACATTCGATAAATAATTATATTGATTTAATAAATGTAATAATATAGTGAAGATCTGATAAAATTGATCAAACATAGTGAATATTTATATTGACTAATGAATGTGACATTTTATGTTTTTTTTACTAATATAAATAATTCAACATTTCTTATAATTTTAGTTCAAAAAAAAGAACATCATAATAGTTATTTAATATAATAAATATTATAAAGAGTATCTGATAAAACTGATCATATTTAATAAATATTTATATTAATTTTTAAAATGTAACCTCCTACGTTTCTTTACTAATGTAAATAATTAAAAATTTCTTATAATTTTAGTGCAAAAAAAGAACAATATCATAATTATTAAATATAATAAATATTACAAAGAAAATTATAAAATCTACCAGATTTAATAAATATTCATTTAAAGAATGCAACATTCTGTTCTTTTAATCTATGAATAATAGTGAATACTTTTTTTTAATCAAAAAAAAAATAGCGTCGCATTTAAAAATACGATCAATCTTGTTATATTTCCATGATTAAATTGTCATGCTTATGCTATAGATTTTTTGTCCATTTATAGACAGCATATAACACGCCCGCGAAGAATATTAATAAACTAGATGACGATGAAATCCTTGTGCTACATGCGATCATCGATAAAATTTATTCAAGTACCAATTGAAACGCGATTATTTTTCACGAGTTGTTTCCGTTCAATGTCTTTCGTAAATCAGCAAGCGAGCACAATTCCTGTTTAAAATCACTTCACACGTGTAACAATTTATGATCGGACTAAATATTAAGTTGGCAACAAATTTGATCATTTTCACGTAATTATTGATTCAAATTCGATACGTAATTTTTAATTAAATATCCTTTGAATCAATAATATTTGTGGTCCCTTTTAGAGGATCATTTTTTTTAGTTTTAACAAACTTCTTTTTCTTAAAAAAAATTATTTAATTTTTGTATGACAATTATATTATACTGTCATTGGGTACTAATTAGTATCTGTAATTTTTATTGTAATTTCTACTACAATTTTTATTATAATTTTTACTGTAATTTTTATTGCAATATTTACTCCAAATTTTATTATAATTTTTACTGTAATTTTTTACTGCAATTTTTATTACAATTTATATTTTAATTTTTACTGTAATTTTTTACTGTAATTTTTATTGCAATATTTACTCCAAATTTTATTATAATTTTTACTGTAATTTTGATTGCAATTTTGATTGCAATTTTTATTATAATTTTTACTTAATTTTTTACTGTAATTTTGATTCCAATTTATATTATAATTTTTATTGCAACTTCTACTGCAACTTATATTGCAATTTTTATAATAACTTACACTGTAATACATACCATAATTTATATTACAATTACACAGTAATTAACAATCACATTACTCTAAATTTCCCTCATTTCAAATTGACAGTTCTTAAATACTCAAAATAAATTTCAAAACTACCTAACATAATCGTCTTAACATTTGTAAAATACGTTACAACTAAAAATGAAAGACAACGTCCCCTTATATGGCCATTCCCATTCCTAAATACTTCTGTAAGAGAAACGTATATGGCAGCAACCTTGAAGACGTTCAACCAAGATATGCAAAAAATTGCAAATTTAATTGCCAACCTAATAAACGTTTTAGCGAGCACCCTGTACACGTGATTCACGTGGGCGCACTTTACATGCTATGTGACACGCTGATATTTAGCTGTTATGACATTAATGGTCACCTATTTATTTCACGAATGTATAGTGAAAGTTACGCGATTGTCTTTCGCCTTCGATTGTTAACCATTTAATAGTTTTGCAGTTACACTGCCACCTTTGGATTTTTACGCAGATCCATTGTACGCGATTAAAAAATTTCATTACAAAAATATCAGATTGCTTCAACCTTTCACCCTGATTTTTAGAATTCCAGTTAAATAGCTTTCTTTATTTTTTAAACTCACAGAATTTCAATCGATCATTGTCCGTCGTAAATCATTCTAAATCACATCTTCCAACGCGATAAGATCCATGCGTCAGACGGGTAATATCATTTACAGAATTTCGAACCCCATAAAATCGCGATATCAGTCGTCAGATAAACCATGTATGGTCCACAAGTCTTCCGACCATACTTTCTTCTTTATACTATGAACACATATATGCAGTCCACGATTCAAGTGGACTATAAACGCATATGATATATTTTATAAATTCCTTATGATCCTCGCATAACCAAACCGTCGTTGATTCTTGACCAGGAATAGAAATATTAGGGATACGCAAAAGTTTCCATCACGTTTAACACACTTTCGTCAATATATTGCTAATTTTCAAACCGAAGTTGTGGTTAAATATGATAATGAATGGACTGGTTGTTGCATAATAATTAGCTGAATATAAAATGTAAGATATGAATCATCTCTACTTTTAGCCATTTAATACCTAACCGAGTTGACAAACCATGTGCAACCTTCATATGCACACATGCACAAGATGAGCTCTAGACAGAGACCTCTAACAGCCAAAAACCTAACTTTTTAGTAAATAAATAATTCTCCAGGAATTCAATTCCTCTTCCAAATGATACATGTGACCAATCGTGGACAAAACATGATCAATCTTAACAAACACACATGTGTAGCTTTCAGTATTCTTCCAGAGATCACATACTAAAAAGACGTCTGCGTATCCCTAGTAATCCTAGCCCAGAGTTAAACCACCTCTCAACCTGACTACGTACATTCTCGAATCCTCCCCATAGCCAGCGCACGAAGCCATCAACAGCAACGTCAAGTTAAAGTCGACCGATCGCCTCGGGGAGCAATTTGCAGGTTTCACGTGAGCGGTAGAGCTCGGTGTTCGTCGACGAACCCGGTGGACACGTCGACCATGTTAGGATGAGGCACCGGCGAGGGTAACACGTTGGTGTCGCTTTCGACATCAGCGTCAGGGTCGACCCCAGCGTCCGTGGTACCCGTCAGCTCCCGCACATTACCCGGAAGATAGTCCTTCCAGCTTCTGAACAGATACCTGGTGAACTTTCGGAGTTGCCGGAACTTGCAGTAGGTGGCTCCTTCGGCGGACTCCAGCTGTTGCGTTTGGATGAGGAAACCCTTCTCCTTGAACGTCTGCTCGAGTTTCTCCCTTTGTAGAGACTTCCTCGTCTTCCTCTTACGACGACCCTCTTCTTGGTTGCTGCTCCTCTGACAGGGTGTCGACTGGATCCGCTCGCCGGCTGCATTCAGAAACGCCCCGGTCGACGAGCCGGACTGCCCGGCGGACTGCTGTAAAGCTTCCCTGGGGAAGAACTCGTAACCTCTCATGCTTTTGTCACCGGTGCCGCTGTAGTACCTGAAGTTGCCACCAGAGTCCACCGACAGACTCTTCTTCTCCTGAAGACTCGGTTTCGCTCCTCCGGTGAACTTGAACTTGCATATGCTCACCTCCGTCGCGGGGTTGTTGTTGTTCTCCGTGGGCATCGGGGGTATGAATATGGTCCATCACGTTTAACACACTTTCGTCAATATATTGCTAATTTTCAAACCGAAGTTGTGGTTAAATATGATAATGAATGGACTGGTTGTTGCATAATAATTAGCTGAATATAAAATGTAAGATATGAATCATCTCTACTTTTAGCCATTTAATACCTAACCGAGTTGACAAACCATGTGCAACCTTCATATGCACACATGCACAAGATGAGCTCTAGACAGAGACCTCTAACAGCCAAAAACCTAACTTTTTAGTAAATAAATAATTCTCCAGGAATTCAATTCCTCTTCCAAATGATACATGTGACCAATCGTGGACAAAACATGATCAATCTTAACAAACACACATGTGTAGCTTTCAGTATTCTTCCAGAGATCACATACTAAAAAGACGTCTGCGTATCCCTAGTAATCCTAGCCCAGAGTTAAACCACCTCTCAACCTGACTACGTACATTCTCGAATCCTCCCCATAGCCAGCGCACGAAGCCATCAACAGCAACGTCAAGTTAAAGTCGACCGATCGCCTCGGGGAGCAATTTGCAGGTTTCACGTGAGCGGTAGAGCTCGGTGTTCGTCGACGAACCCGGTGGACACGTCGACCATGTTAGGATGAGGCACCGGCGAGGGTAACACGTTGGTGTCGCTTTCGACATCAGCGTCAGGGTCGACCCCAGCGTCCGTGGTACCCGTCAGCTCCCGCACATTACCCGGAAGATAGTCCTTCCAGCTTCTGAACAGATACCTGGTGAACTTTCGGAGTTGCCGGAACTTGCAGTAGGTGGCTCCTTCGGCGGACTCCAGCTGTTGCGTTTGGATGAGGAAACCCTTCTCCTTGAACGTCTGCTCGAGTTTCTCCCTTTGTAGAGACTTCCTCGTCTTCCTCTTACGACGACCCTCTTCTTGGTTGCTGCTCCTCTGACAGGGTGTCGACTGGATCCGCTCGCCGGCTGCATTCAGAAACGCCCCGGTCGACGAGCCGGACTGCCCGGCGGACTGCTGTAAAGCTTCCCTGGGGAAGAACTCGTAACCTCTCATGCTTTTGTCACCGGTGCCGCTGTAGTACCTGAAGTTGCCACCAGAGTCCACCGACAGACTCTTCTTCTCCTGAAGACTCGGTTTCGCTCCTCCGGTGAACTTGAACTTGCATATGCTCACCTCCGTCGCGGGGTTGTTGTTGTTCTCCGTGGGCATCGGGGGTATGAATATGGCGGAACGTTTTCGTTTCGTCGGCTGGCCCTGAGACTGGCCAATAGGCGCGTTCCTTTTGGGTCTGGGCGAAACAGGAGGCGGTACAGGAACCGTTTGTGGTGCCGGCTGGGTCGATGGAGTGACCAGAGGAGGACTCTTCGTCTCCAGCATCGAGTAGATGGACTTAGGAACGATCTTTTGCTCCTTTGGAGCTTGGTCTATCGTCCTGGGATAACACTTGTTCTGAGCCATCTTCTGGTAGTAGAGCAGCTGCGACTGCAGCGCCATCGGGTGAATGAACACTCCAGCATTCGGCCAATAGACGAATCCGGGATTAGCGCTCAACATTGGGTCGATAATGTTGTTATTGTGATTCACGTTATTGCTGTTGCGACCGAGGGGGTCCAACGAGTGGTAGGCCGACTCTGAAGGGTACGTCGTACCTATACACTCCACCTCTTCACCGTCGCTGGAGGTGTCGCTCTTCACCTGCCCCGACTCGTACACATTACCGTGTTTTCGCAGCAGCCTGATCTTCAACTGGTTCAGGTCTCTGATGCAGAGATTCAAAGGCTCGTCCTGCTCCTTCGAGTTCTCCAGCAGCCCGAACGTCCGACGGGACTCCTGGGTCAGTCTCTTCTCCAACAGGCTGCTGATCCTGTTCTGGACGTCCGTTCTCTGGAACGGTATCTGAGGCGAAATTCTCTCGCGACAGTCGAGCTTGTCCCTGGGGGACAGCCTCTTCTCCTCGTGGCCAGGTGTCCCAGGAAGTATGGTGCCGTAGTTCTTGTAAATCAGATGGCAAATGTCCGCTTTCTTCGGTTTCCTGCCTCTTCTGGGTTTGCTGTTGTCCAGCGTGATCTCGCCCATGTATGGCAAGTCCGAGTATTTCATCGGTGGCCTGCCGGATGTCTGTGACTGCTGCTGATTGTGGTTGTGGGTCGCGTTGAACGCGTGGGACGAGGTGGAGGTGATCACGGACCTCCTGGAGCCCGATGGCTGATTCGAGTTGCCTTGGGGACACTGCGGGGACGGAATCTGGGGACACAGCTCCTGTTGCATCGCGGCGATCCGCTGCAACCAACCATGCACGTCGGCTATGGGACTCGGGATCGAGGTCGAGTTGGTCGGAGCTGGACTTGGGATCGTGGGCTCCACAACGTGCGTCGGGGATGCGTTTAAAGCTTCCTGGGCTAACGACGCCTCGTAGTGGTCCAGGTACTCCGGAGGCAACGCCTGGTGGTGGAACTTCAACTTCCATCGCGACTTTCTGCGACCACGACTGAAACAGATGAAGATCTGCTTGTTTAAGAATGATTCAACTTTGATCACTTGCATCAAGAGACATTGAATGTTTGTTACCAGCATGTAGTCGCACTAGTAACAGTAATTGTGTGATAGTTGTAAAACATCATAAAAACCTGTTTTCAAATTTCAAGCAGATGTTAATTGCATGTCTGGTTAAATCAGATGCATGAGATAGGTCCTCCATCATTTCTACCTGACAGCAATGCTTTGCATAAACCAATCCCCTATGTTTTTATCACTTGGAGTCTTCGATTGAAAATCATATCACTGACTCATATCATACTGAGTCATACCTGATTTGATTTAACCCTAATATAATCTAGTTTCATCTGATCTGAGGTAACCTAAGTCTCATGTCTTAGAGATTCTACTGTCAAACTTTGACAGTAAGTCTCTTATTATATTACCATTGTCCAGAATTGTTCTACCACATCTATCTCCTATAAATTCAACCTAGAATTTGAATTAACCTCTTTGGCAAGGATTTATTTTTCCTGGAGTGTTTTCGCTAGAAATGGCGTTGTACCACGGTGTCGACCAACACGTTTAACTTCTCTAACGATCCTTTCGATGTAAAACTGGCGTCGTTTGAAAGAGCAGTTTAGACAGACAGCAAGAAAGACAAGCGCCAGGCGAAACTGGTTCGTCTCGTGTACATCGACTCGTTTCGGCAAAAAATCGTTTCTTAAGGTTCGTCTTAAGGCTGAAATGCCGCGACTCGATTACCGTTATTGAATTTCATTAAACGCGGTGTTAGAACCGGTGCTGGAAGAGGAGACGAGACACTGGTTCTATGCATATGGCCGCGTTGCGTTGTATAAATCGGTGCCGAGGCGTGGTTTGGAATGCAGCTAGGTGGAAAACAACATTAACCATAGACCCGTGTCGACCGTGTAATTGTTAGGATTCGAATTAACCGTACATAAAGAGCATTGCAATGCTTGCCGTGTTACGGAATGCGTAACGAGATATTAATTACGAATTAATTAGCAACGCACAAGCGAAATGGAAATCAAGATTACGGGGGTATATTTTTCCTATCGTACATCGCTTGTGGAACTTGTAGATTTGCGTGAAGATAGATAACTTTGATTTATTACATCGAATTTACTTGCAGCGTTTGGGTTTTATATGTGTAGGATTTTCATGTGTGGAATTATGTATTTATTAATTCAAAAGGAGCGATGATAGATAAATTTTTACAACAGATTTGTATATCGGAGTTTTCAAGTTTGAAGTTGATATATAATTAAGTTTAAAAACTTGAAAAAATGATATCAAATGTTCAAAACCCCAAATCAATAAATCTCCATAAAATCTATAAAACTCGACTAACTTAATATTCATCGAAGATGATAAATACAAATATTCTACTATAATGTCTGTATTTCACAGAGCTATAAATAAGTCAATAATAATAGTGTTCTAGTCTGTGTACCTAAAAGCGTGTACAAACGGCAATATAACGAGAGTCTCACCGTAATCAAGAGTTACAAGCATTCTACATAAATTACGATTTTCATAGACCCACTATATAAATGAAAGAAAAATAAAAGAATGTTAAAGTTACCTTGGTCTTCCTCTATTGGTGAGATCTGAAACCGTCTGCCCTGAATTTTCCTCCAGCTCCTGAGTCGAATCCGTTTCGTGTCCGTGGCCATGTTTGCCGTCAACAGACGTCAGTGACGTGTCTGCATCTACTTGTGGACTGTCAAATTTACCATTAGCTGTCTACCGTAATAACGAAAAAACTCGATTAAATGTTCATATATATAAACAAAATAAAAAATGATTAAAGAACTTCATTTTTACTTTTATATTGCTTTGAGTGACTCTTAAGTTTATATTTTTGAATTGAAATTTTGAAAGGATTATTCTTAAAGAATGTCGGGATTCAAGATTATGTCTGCTTTATGGGTTTTGAAATTGTGGCTGTCGCGATTTTAAGTTATCGAGATTTTTAATTATTATTATCATTTGGATTATGGGTGTCGGGACTGTGACTGTTGGGATTTTTGGTTATCTCTGATTCTAATAAATCAAAATATTTGACATGTTGCTCAAAAATGTCTCCATATGTCTCCACATGTCTCCATATAATTTCATACTCTTTAAAGAGTATAAGAAAGAGTGTAACAGTGCAAGAAAAATTGAAAAATACCACAAAAAATTTCATTTTAATTTCCAAATAAGAAAAGTTCTGCAACCTCGATACTCATATCTCGACAAGAGATCTAACAACGTCTAACGTTGAAATTTCACGTGACCAACACGTGTTGAAGCTCGAATATACACACGTTAGCATTACTCAGCACACGATTTCGGAACTATACCCCATAAGTAAGTACATAAATTACTTTTATGCAGCACGAAGTGGTCGTAGTATACTATGCTCTTCAAAAAATAATCTCCGGCTCGTAAACGCCAGCAGAACGTCCATCTACTCAAAGTACGTGGGCGTATAGGTTTCACGTGGTTTATCCTTTCGTTAATAACGTATTAGTTCGTTTCTCTGACAAGTTACATTTACCTTGTTACAATGCACAACACCAGATAATAATATAATTCATATTCCAACCGCGATTTATCTCTGATAAGATAATAACATGTTCATGTTTCAGCGAGAACAATGCTTTCGTTTGTTGATCGAGTGTGCAAGGGAAATAGTTTCTGGTTTCTGGGGAGTTGTGGACATTTGGGGGTTTTGGAAGGTTGGGATTTTGGGATTTTGGAAGGTTGGGACTTTGGGGATTTTAGGATTTTGGGTTTTTGGAAGGTTGGGACTTTGGGGATTTTAGGATTTAGGGATTTTGGGATACTGGACGTTTTGGATTTTTGGAATTTTTAAGATTTCTAGGATTTTTAGGATTTTTAGGATTTCTAGGATTTCTAGGATTTTTAGGATTTTTAGGATTTCTAGGATTTTTAGGATTTTTAGGATTTCTAGGATTTTTAGGATTTTTAGGATTTCTAGGATTTCTAGGATTTTTAGGATTTTTAGGATTTCTAGGATTTCAAGGATTTCAAGGATATCTAGGATTTCTAGGATTTCTAGGATTTCTAGGATTTTTAGGATTTCCAGGATTTCTAGGATTTCTAGGATTTCTAGGATTTCTAGGATTTTTAGGATTTCTAGGATTTTTAGAATTTTTAGAATTTTTAGGATTTCAAGGATTTCTAGGATATCTAGGATTTCTAGAATTTCTATGATTTTTAGCATTTTTGGGATATTGAGATTTTTTATATAATATTATGAAAGGTTCACTTTTAGGATTTAAAGACTTTGGGATTTTGGGATATTGGAAGTTTCAATATTTGGGGACTCTGGGAATTTTTGAGATATTAGAAGGTTAGCTTTTGTGCTTCTTGGAATTTCTGGAATTTGTGGGACTTTTGGGATTTTAGAAGGTTAGAAATTTGGAACATTTAGAATTTTATAAATGTAAGATGTACTCCCACATACTAACATACCCACATATCCTAATTTTCAAATGTAAAGCTCTAAATTTCCAAATCTTCAAATTCCTAAATTCCTAAATTTCAAAATCCCTAAATGCTTGAATTTCCAATTGCACAAAAACCTAAACTCCTAAATCCCTAAATGCCTGAATTTCGAATTGCACAAAAATCTTAATTTCCAAATCCCCAATCAGTGAATATACCAAATTGTAATCCACATCGCAGACTCACCTCAACGCATTCGTGTCACGACTTCGCTCCTCCTCCTCCTGTGGCTCCTGTTTGACCGCCATGTGGAGCAGAGGTGGCAACGGACACTTTATGTGCGACGAATGATGCAGATGATGCTGCAGAGTGGTGCTGTCTGTGGGGCCACTGTCTATCCCAGTAGATTGTGCACGAGGCACGACTTCCTCGGTCTGCATAGTGCCCCCTGAAAAATAACAAATTTCCCTTTAAACTTTCAACAATCTTCAAAACTTCAAATTTTTAATTACTTTAATCCCGTAACCTACAATTTTCTAGGCAGTTGCGTCATTTACAGTTCACTCATTATTGCTACAACTTGAAGACAAATAAAGAAAATTGAAAAGTTAGACACGTTGTGTATTCCATGATGATTGATTGTGAAGATTATAATTAGAATTGAACGCAAAGTTCGGTTACAATGAAAATATGAGTCTGCTTTGTCGTGTATGAACTATAAGGTGCGTCACGAGTGTGACACGATATTGTAGGGCAAGGGGTTAATCCCTTAATTTATGATTTATTTGACAGGTGCGTCAATCAGAATTCATCATAACTACAATGTTAAGACAAAGAAAGTTTGAATGTGTTAATTTGGTATTATGTAAATGAATGCGCAAATTATAGTTGTACTTAAACTCCAAATTTCAAATGTTAAGGACATTCTGGATATTATTGGTAGGTTTATAATTAATCTAATCATAATTAATCAATCAAATCTAACCAGGGTAAGGTTGCTTAAGTCGTACCTGTTCTATATTTGAAGTGTTATGGCTACTACAGCTACATTAGGATTAATTTATATGACAACACAAAGATTGTTCAGAGTTGTTCTAATAAAAAAAAAAAAATATTAATACTAGAATCGAATAGCAAATATAGTTTTTACATATTTGCTAAATACTCATTGCTTTTTCTTAGGGGGTACGACTTGAGCATCCTTACCCCATATAGTTATTCCACTTTTATTAATGTTTCATTTACGTCCATATATTAGAAATATTTTGAACATCATTGGACTTAGACTAGTTCTATCTACGCATCTCGGATGCTAACAATCAAACAAAACTAAATAAACAGTTACATAATAATTACTACCTCTTCACATCAGAGGCTAACAATGGAACAAACGAAGTTAAATAAACATTTAGATACTTGTTAGTTTCGAACCAGGGAGACTAACGATCCAAGAACAACTTTGGTTATCCTAATTTTAGTTTGCCTAATTTTACATAATCACGTTTGATCTCATTACTCTGAGGATTGTTATTAACTGATCGTCATTTCTGACAAGCCTCGTCGTTTATTTCCTCGTGTTTTAACAATTTACAGGACGATCAAAAATAATTGTTTCCTGGCTTTGAGACAAAGTTTCGTTCACTGGTATTAAGTTACCAGGAATTGTATACATAAGTGTCCTATGAGTGTTATGCTGTTTGTAAATGTTTAGTACAATGTTCATTTGTTTGTAAATGTTCTACATTTGTAGATGTTTAAGTACAACGTTTTGAAGTGTAGTTGCATGTATAATAATTTCCTTGAATCACTGAATGTATTGGTTTAAATATAGGGGATGATCGCGGAGATATTATCTAGTTTTCTTTTTAATGTGTTGAAAAAATGGAAGAGGAAGATATTATGTTTTACTAGGAATGATGACGTGTATTCAGTTTTTGAGTTTGCGTTATTTTTTGAGAGATGATGTTTGGTTTTTAGGTGGGGTGAGATTTGGGAATTTGGGAATTCGAATATTTAGGAATTTGGTAATTTGGAAATTTAGAAATCTGGGAATTTAGGAATTTGGGAATTTGGGAATTTGGGAATTTGGGAATCTGGGAATTTGGGAATTTGGGAATCTGGGAATTTGGGAATTTGGGAATTTGGGAATTTGGGAATCTGAGAATCTGAGAATTTGAGAATTTGGGAATTTGGGAATTTGGGAATTTGAGTATTTAGGAATTTGGCATTTGGAAATCCGGGATTTTGGAATTTGGGAATCTGGGAATTTGGGAATTTGGGAATTTGGGAATCTGGGAATCTGGGAATTTGGGAATTTGGGAATTTGGGAATTTGGGAATTTGGGAATTTGGGAATTTGGGAATTTGGGAATTTGGGAATTTGGGAATTTGGGAATTTGGGAATTTGGGAATTTGGGAATTTGGGAATTTGGGAATTTGGGAATTTGGGAATTTGGGAATCTGGGAATCTGGGAATTTGGGAATTTGGGAATTCGGGAATTTGGGAATTTGGGAATCTGGGAGATTGGGAATCTGGGAATTTGGGAATTCGGGAATTTGGGAATTTGAGAATTTGAGAATTTGGAAATTTGGAAATTTGGAAATTTGGAAATTTAGGAAATTTCCAAATACAAAAATGTAGAAACTTAAAAACTAAAGTACCCTACACTGCACTCAAGTATAATTTCAAAATTCTCACAATTTTACAATGTCCACACATTCAACAGTAACATCATTACATATCTCAACAACTTTCCACCTCATATCGGAACATTACCATTTGAGATCACCTGAAAAAAAAAAAAAACAAAAAGAAAATACTCTTCATCGAACATTCCCTTAGAAAGTGGTTCGCCCCACTGAATTTCGACTTTCCGTTTCGTCGCTAAACATATGTAAATAGGTCCTAAGGAAAGGTTACGCGTGGGCAGCCGTCTTGCCCGAGTGTAGCTCTCGGTGCAACCTGGATATTGCGGAATATTCATAACCTTCTCGTTAATAAAACACATTGTCGGCATAATTTCCAATCGGTACGGGCGTGAGAAATGGAAGAAGCTAGACAAATGGCTGCATGCAAATCGCGAAATAAACGCGTTACACCATTCGCGTGTGGGCACGTCATATCTACTCGCGTATACTTAACATTGGTACTATATTTTTATGGTGTTAAATCTTCAATTCTGTAAAGTTCTAAATTTATAAATTTCTGAATTTCTAAAATCCTACATTCTAAACTCGTAAATTCATAAAGTTCTAAATATGCAAATATCCAAATTCCTAAATTTCGATATTCCCTAAATCTGTGTATCTCTAAATTCCTAAGTTCCTAAATCCCTGAATTACTAAATCCCTGAATCCCTAAATCCATAGTTTCCTAAATTCCTAAATCCCTAAATCCCTAAATCCCTAAATCCCTAAATCCCTAAATCCCTAAATCCTTAAATCCCTAAATCCCTAAATCCCTAAATCCCTAAATCCCTAAATCCCTAAATCCCTAAATTCATAATTAACGCAATTCCCAAATTCCTAATTTATTAAATAGTAAAATTTTTCAACCTACCAATACCAATATTCCCAAATCTCAAAATCCCCTAAATCTCTACATTCCTAAATTCCTAATCCCTAAAATAGTAAACTGTCTCAACATTCACCGCCCTAAAGAGTTCTTCTATAATAATCGAATAGTCTATTGTTACAAAATGTCGGGAAACTGAGGAGGCAGAGGAAAAACGAGCCGTCCCATAAGTGTTAAACACTTAAGTGCCCGTGGGCTCGAGATCGTCGAAAAGCAATACGTGGCCGTGTATTACGCGACGTATCGTCGAAGGAATGCTTTTCAGCTCGCCTCTACACACCTGTCACGTATAATTTCTCGTGATGCTCTTTTAAGCTCATCGAAACCCGTCGATCCTCGATATATAAATAGTCGGTCTCGACGCTCCGCGTTCTTCGCGCGTAATAATAAACGCGACGAATAGACGGGGTGGTTGCACGAGAAGAGGGTCGTAAACGACATTATGGAAATGATCGAAAAAATCGATGAAATCTTTCATGATAGTGGCTCTACAGATCAGGTGCCTGAATCGAATTCCAATGTGCATTTCAAATGAGTAAGCACTTCAATATGAGTAATGCATTTCATGTAAGTAGAACAAGAGATTTTTAAGTGGTTACGAACGATTAAACGCGTCTGAAACTATCGAAAACGATACCAAACATGATTATTGTTGATTTCACCACGATTGACGTCAATGACGACCAAGTAGTGTCGTCGACGATGAGTCATAGAGCTTTTAACGCGCTTTCAGGCGGTTCTGTGTCAAAAATTATAGGAAACGATACCGACACGGTTTTTATCGATTCGACGATCGACGTCGATGACAGGTGTCGTCAGATCGCTGCCATGTATACAGCAAATTTAGGGTGTCTACCCTCAAAAATTCCAGTAATATTAATATCAAACGTAAAATTAATAGTGGTAATTTTGAACAATTGCAATTTTAAGATGGACAACATTAACTTATCTTTCATTCGTTCGTTTGTTGATTTACATAATTATGAAAGATGTATACATTCTATTGCGACGTCCTGTAAATAATCTTCATGATTCGCTTATTCAAAGTTAAATTTGAAACTTTAACGTTTAAAAAATTGTAGTTAGAATTAACGACGTAAATTTTGTATTATCTTGCTATTTCTAATTATGTAAATAATTATTGCAAATTAGTAATTTAAGTTTGAAAAGTTTATTGAATTACTGCTTTTATGTGTACATCATTTGTGTAACGTTGCTATACTTCACAAGTTTAATTTGTTTACTATATTTTATAAGTTTGTTGTACTTTAAATATAAGCCGTCAGTAAGAAAATGAAACTTGTGGCTGTGATTTATTGGATATTTCTACAATTTCATTTCAGATTGTTATTGTTTATTTCTGAACCTTCTTTCGACAGGTAATGTATATTCCTAATAGTTGACAATGAATTATTTCAATTTTTATGTATTGTATACAGTAGAGTATTCGAAATAACGTAGATTTTATGATTTTCCTATAATGTATTGAGATCTTTGTTTGAAATTCGCGGTGAATTGTAAAAACATGGCAGCGTACTTTGATACAAAATGAACGCATGGCGACAGTAGTTTTTCATAATTTATCCTTGTTAATCTCATTGTATATTTCACTTTATTTTACTGCATATTTTATTCTATAGTTTATATTTTACTCAGTATTTTAATCTATATTTCATTCTATATTTTACTTTATATTTCACTCTATATTTCACTCTATTTTGCTATATATTTTATTCTGCATTTTACTCTATATTTTGCTATATATTGTATTCCATATTTCACTCTATTTTACTCTATATTTTATTCAGAATTTTATTCTATATTTTGTTCTATATTTTGCTCTGTATTGTACTCCATATTTTCCTCAACTCCCAA